CATCCACATCCACTGGAAGGAAGATGGCAAAACATCAATAGATTAGTGGAGAGGTTGTTGGCTATCCATTTAACCCATAAATTACCTCAATTAAAAGATTAACTATTGAATTCAGAGGATTGTTGGGAAGAAAAACAATCAGGAACAGCAGATTATAGAGAGTGACTGTTTTATAGTAGAAAAATATTTAAAGTTTAAAAAAAAATAAGTTCCGGCAGTTTCAGGATTTTTGTTTTATTTTGTCTTTCACCCTTAGCATATGTAAGAACACGTGCGTGCACTTATCGGAATGTCTTTGTAGCCAGGAAAACAGCACTTTGATTTTTAAGTTATTTAACAGTATTAATGAGTTGGGTTACAAGGAACAGTATGGCTACTGTTCATTGAAAACCAAAACATCAATCTTCTTAAGTTATAGTGTTGGAGGCACAGGGCACGTCTTAGCGATTAATGATCAGTTGGAGGAGTAGATATCTCAATACAGAGCCAAGGGCCATTAACCCCAACTGGTCATTAATTCCCAAGAAAGGTCCTGTACTGAGGTCATTATTGCTAATAAAATGCACACATGGAAAGTTCCCTCTCTTTTGCCTGTGTACCTAAACATACATTCGCATTACATGCCTTGTTGCACATCATGAAGAAAAAGGTAGTATTTCACATGTCCAGAATCTCAGAAAAACTAAACCTAATGAGAAGTTTAATATGCTTAAACTCTATATTCCATTTACCTTTCCTTTTTTTTGGTGGGGGGGGTGTAGGAAGTAGGAGGAAGGGCAAGTGAAGGAATACATGTGTTTATGCCAAGGCTGTGGATCTTCTGCAATTAGTACCCATATTCTGCTAATGTGTAGATAAAGGGAAAAATGAAAGGAACAGCCAAATGGGATTAGAGTCGCTGATGAATATGGGTAGAATCAGCACATATGATCTAATATCAGAGGCAGTGTGGAGTAATGGCATTATTTGAGTCATAATATATTAGGTATCAGAACAGGCATCAGACACATTTAGCAGTCAGGCCAAGTTCATCTTTGGTGTCCTCTCTCTTCCACCTTTCTAGATTATGCTATTCTATCCCTTCTCCTCATAGCTTTTCAAGAACCCTTAATGAGTTATCACTGTCCTCTGAAACTATCTCTTTTTGCTTTTCATTCTCCTTTCACTGGCCTCTGTGCAACTATCCTTGTCTTGCTTAAATCTATACGATACTCCTTTGAGCTATCTTCCATAGCATCCCATAATTATCTTGATTTTAGAAATCACTTCATGGTGCTTTACTTATTTATATATAATCAACCACTTCTTTCAGAAAAGAGTCTTATCTTTTTCCTCATCTTAATAAATGGTTGGGACGGGGCACCTGGGTGGCTCAGTGGGTTAGAGCCTCTGCCTTCGGCTCAGGTCATGATCCCAGGGTCCTGGGATCGAGCCCCACATCGGGCTCTCTGCTCAGCAGGGAGCTTGCTTCCCTTCCTCTTTCTGCCTGTCTCTCTGCCTGCTTGTGATCTCTGTCTGTCAAATAAATAAATAAAATCTCTAAATAAATAAATAAATGGTTGGGGACTAGCTGTGATCTTAATGACTGTTACATATATATTCTTGTACGTATGTTCTTATTTGCATAAAAGTAGTAAGTTTTTAAGGAGGACCTGTAAGTCAAAGAATGTATCTATTTTTTACTGGTATAAATGACAAATTGAAAGATTGCAAGATTCATTTCTTAAGAGATTGAGTAACTTAAAATGTACATATTTAAAACTAATTTTGATAAGTTTTCCTGTGGAGCAGCTAAAATGACTGTTTTGTGGCGGTAACAGACATTTTCTTCTACTAGCTTTAAAATAATACAATTATTTATTTTTTAAGAATTTATTTTAAATATATAAAGAAGGACTTTGTTAGTGTTTTATTTTATACATTAGTGAAATTTTAAAAATTAAAATTTTCATGGACTGCTATTGATGGCATAGATCTTTTTGGTTAGAAGGACATTCCTGTTTTCTCTCAAATTATATCTAATTAATACTGCTCAAGGAATGTCAAGTAAATGTGAATATAATATCTAATATGTGGCATATTTAGTATAATACTACTTTTTAAAAATATTTATTATTTTAGAGAGGGAGAATATGTATGAGTGGAGGTTGTAGGGGAGAGGGTTGGGAGGGTCAAAGGGAAAGATAGAGGAAGAGGATCCTCAAGCAGACTCCCTGCTGAGTGTGGAGCCCAATTTGAGGTTGGATCCCAGAACCCTGAGATCACAACCAGAGCTGAAATCAAGTAGGATGCTTAACTGACTGAGCCTCCCAGGTGCCACACTTAAATTAGTGTCTAAATTACCTTGATTATTCACATATGCAGTAATTTTCTAAATCAAAGAATTAAATATGCACAGATTACACACAAGACAGAATAGTTAGGTACTTCCTGTTGGTATCTTTGAAGATAATTAAATTATTATAATATAAATATATATATTTAAAATATATATAAAATATAATTTATTTAGCATTCATATTTAACATTTCATGAAACATAAAATTTGTTGTCTGTCCTTAAAATGCTTGTCATGTATAACAATAAATCAGTACATCCCTAAATTTATTTTAATTCATTTTCCCAGATTGATCCTAACTTCTGAGATTCAAAGTAACTAGATCCTTGATATGCATAGGCAATTACTAAAGAGTTGATCTTTCATAAGAAAGTTCACTCATATTACACATTTGTTTAAAACTAAACCATATAAACATAGAATATTTTAATAATAAATGATAAGAAAATTACTTAATTTTTTAAAGATGTTTTTATTATAGCTACAGCTATTACCAAGAAAGCACAGAAATTAGTTGGACAGAAGTTAAAGCAGGTACTATATCTGGAATCTTCCTGGGAAGTAAGAATAGCAAGATCCTTTCTGTGGGGTATATACAATGGAATACTATGCAGCCATCAAAAACCCCACTCTTGAAGTTTGCAATGACGTGGATGGAACTAGAGGATATTATGCTGAGCAAAATAAGTCAATCAGAGAAAGACAATTATCATATGATCTCTCTGATATGAGGAATTTGAGAGGCAGGGCAGGGGGTCATGGGGGTAGAGAGGGAAAAAAATGAACCAAGGTAGGATTGGGGAGAGAGATAAACCATAAGAGACTTTTAATCTCAGGAAACAAACTGAGGGTTGCTGGGGGGTGGGAGGGGAGGGATAGGTGGCTGGGTTATGGACACTGGGGAGGGTATGTGCTATGGTGAGTGCTGTGAAATGCGTAAGACTGATGATTCACAGACCTGTACCCCTGAAGCAAACAATACATTATATGTTAAAAAAAAAAAAAAATGACAGTGGTAACTTTGTGGAGAAAGAAGAGAAGTTGAAGACTGCAAGAGTTGAAGATCCCATGTTCTACCATACTGAAAAGCACCCAACGACTTAGGGGTTTAAGAAGCCAACTCTAGCTCAAGTCTTAACCACATATTTGTATCTACTTCTTATATGCCATGTGACCTTAGGAGAACTATTTAACTCTGTACCTCAGTTTCCTTGTCTGTAAAATGAGGTAAATAATTATCCATCCTTCATGGCTGTAGTAACATTATTAAAAGATAGACTGAAACATATTAAAACTTTAAGTTTTTTTATGCAAAAATTGATTCCAGTCATCTAGGGCCAAACTGGAAATGGTTAGCAAAGCTTTGCCTTCAGGAGTGAGGGACAGACTTGTGTGGGGAAAGTGCGGAAGCAAAAAAAGAATCAGCTATAGCCTAAGGTCTATTGGTTGTTTGCGATTGGTTATCCCTAATGCTTTGATTTCATGATTTTGATGCATTTATTGACTTAGATTTTCATTTGCTTAAGGAGGCCACGACCTCATCAGAGACACCTGAGTCTAATGGCCTCCTTTGTTTAGTTAATTTCACAGCATTAAATCATTTCATTTATGGAAAGCACTTTAAAGCAAAAAGTATCTGGTACATATAAATATTCGATGACTATTATTTGTAATTATAATTATCAGTCTTAGTTTGAAATATGTGTTTTAGTTTATTCCATGTCTTAACAAAGACAACTGGGGTGTCTGGGTGTCTCAGTCAGTTAGAAGCAGTCTGAAGTCCTAGAAGCTCAGGTCATGATCAAAAACAGAAAAAGACAACCAAGGCAGCTTATTTATAACAATCCTCTCTTTTATCAACCTTTTTATATTAGTTGTTTTTCTATTCAGTATTGCCCTGTGTGGAATAGTATATATGGTGTGGGTAAGATTGCATCATCCCAGTCCTAAAATTTGTGGTGGTGGCCCTGACCTAATCATTCCTATTTTTTCCAATTTTAAGTGAATTTTTATTTTTATTTTTTTTAAGATTTTATTTATTTATTTGAGAGACAGCACAATCAGCGGGGAGCAGCACAGGGAGAGGGAGAAGCCAGCTTTCAATGGAACAGGGAGCCTGACACGGGACTCAATCCAAGGACCCTGGGATTATGACCTGTGCAAAAGACAGATGCTTAATGGACTGAGTCACCCAGGTGCCTCTTAAGTAGACTTTTAAAACATCTTTATATCAGAAACAAGAAATGAACTCCCTGAAAATAACAGCTTTTATTTGTTTTTGCTTAGGGATCTTTTTTCCTTGGGAATGATATGGGGAAAGAATGGGCTTCTACTAGTATTCCTATATGAGTAAAGACCTCATCAAGTTAGAAAGAGTTGGATCCTTCTGCATTTATGTTAGAACAAACAGACAAACTTTAATGGAGGAAGAAATGTTAATCATCCTAAATAGTTGAAATTTAGTTATGTCTTGATCTCTGCATCTGAGTAAAGGCAGACCTAAATTTTATTATTTATTTCTGATTTATTTCTCTTGTAACAATTTGTAAGATCTAAACAAAAATTATTTTTTAAAAACTGTACACATTCAGAAAATTATAACTTAATAAGTCTAGGAAAATTTACAAACTGCTATATTAATAGCCATTTTCTTATTTTTTAGATTAAATTAACACCATTTGAAAGAGGTTATTGTTTTCATCATGACTGCTAATAAAAATGAGAGACCGAAGTTCAGAAGCCACGATTTTCACCTTTTCCATGCCTTGATGATACTAAGCATGACCATGCTATTTCTTCCAGTCATTGGAACTTCTAAGCAAAATATTCCACGACTCAAGCTGACTTACAAAGGTAAGTGTATAAATGTTCTTCAGATTGTCTTTTTGGTCACTGTGTTTCTTTTATTTAGAAATGCATACTGACTTCAGTGAAATGTTTATAGTATTGACATCAGTTAATAAAATTATTATTATAGAACACAAAGCCCAATTATTTTTTATTTTTGTGAGGAAAATGGTGCCAAAGGTGTTCGTGTACACTTTTCAGCTAATTATTTACAATAATCAACTACTGATTAGCATAATTAGGAGATTTTGGTCTGTAGGTTATAATCAGTTTTGTATTAAAACAAGTCAATCCCTAAAAATAGAAAAACATTAATTTCATATGGCTCATGCTAATTAGTTTATCTCTAGTTTGAGACAATTTATATTTAAACACAGTAAGATATCTTTAAAAAGTTTATCACAGTAAGATACCTTCAAGATCTCAAACATATGTGTATTTACTATTTTAAAAAGATCCTGTGAAAGGCTTGAAATATAGAGATGAAAAACTATTTAAGAAATGAAATCTGCTAAGGTAATTTTTTTAATGTTTAAATTAATATAAAAGCAATGTTTATGTGAGTTATATTTAGTCATCTTATGTATGTATATGTTTGTGTGTATACATAGACAGACAGATATTCACAGAGAAAGGGAGGGCATGTCAAATTTTATGCTTGAAGATATTTCTTTTCATGTGGTCTTTCATACTTCCAGTAATGAGAGGAATGTAGGGGACTTATACTCCTTTATTCTGAACTTAGGAGGAAAAAATTATGCCTGTGGTTTTAATATTCTCTAATCTTTAAGACAATTTACTTTGTGAAATCAGATGAAATATCAGTAATAAAACCTAACTTGATGTTGAATGGAAATGGAAATGGAATTAACATTATACCCATTATACATTTCATATGTTGACATTTGTTTGGAATTTATATCTCATGAATTAAAGAGTTAAGGTAATATATTATTTTTGAATTCTTAAATTTTTCTAGGATTTTTAAGACAGGTAAAAAAAGAAAAAAACAAAACAAAACAGAACTTTGCCTCCTAATGGGTGAGGGAGGATTAACAGGGAAGATATATGAGGAAAAACTTTCTGGGATTATTGCAATGTTCTCTATCCTGATAAGGAATTGTGATTACTCAATTATGTGGCTTTTTTCACAACCCATCATATGCACAAGTCAGATTTGTTCATTTGTCTGTATTCAAAATTCACCTTAAGAAAAGGAACAGAAAACAAATATTAAACTCCAAACAATGGAAAAAGAGAGAGAGAGAGAGAGAGAGAGAGAAAGAGAGATGCAGAAAGTTTGAAAATAAAGAGAGTGAAGGGGAAAAAAGGGGATGCTTTCTGGTTCCTATGATACGATGAATAACATTAGAACATTGCATTGATAATCTGTGAACAATGAAAAAGAAATCAGGCTTGCAAAAAACCTTTAATAGTTAACAGTCACTGGTGATTCATTATGAGCATTGGTATAAGGACTGTGTGTTGTCATTTCATCCTCACCAGCACCCGGTATGGTGGGGATTATTACCATCCCCGTCCCTTATGTGAGGATGTGGAGGTACTGAGAAACTGAGAAATTTGCCAGGGTCTTGACATAGTCATGACCCAGCCCCTGAGTCAGCCTCATGCTGCATGGAGCCCAGGTGCCTGATCCAGTTTCTTAGATCGTGGTCACTAGCGGTTCTTCACTGAGGCACTTACAGACGAGAGTAAACTGGAAAATTGATTTACAGCAGCACCATGCTCCTATTTGACTGATGGTATGATTTCCAGTTGTCAAAATTAACAGAGTTAAAAATTGAAGGACAGATACTCTATTTAAGATCACTGGGTGGCCAAAAGAGATCTACAGATTTGTGAGGTGTTGTGCCTTTTGATAAAGTATGGGAAAAAATAGATTGTCATTGCGACCATTTAGATCATAATCACAGTTTCATGTAAGTCGTTGTAAAATATTAGCCCAAATGTGGTAATTGATCATTGGAAAATAAATCAATCTCTACAGATAGAAAAACATCATTAATTAATTCCATGCAGCTGCTACTAGTTAGTTCATCTAGTTAGAGGTTTTTTTTTTTGGTTTTTTTTTAATGGATATGTTTTTGGACTTGGAATCAACCCTATATGTTCAAAATCTTGTTTTACTTATCTCTGTATCGACTGTTACTCCTCTCAGCGCCTAGTATAAAAGGGGAACTGGTCTAAGAGTTGGATTAAATGTAATGAGAACTACTCTTTTGATGGTTCTTACATTACACTTTCCAAGTGTTATATTTTTTAGGTTTTTCTCTACATTTAGGTAATTTACATGTCGAAGTCTGGTAAGCAGTAGCAAAGATTGAATGTAGGACAGGAATGACAGATATCTCCCAACCCACCCTCAAACACACACACACACAGGCCCCTACTAGCTCCCCATATGAATAACTACTGTTCATCTTTGCTAGGAGAAACATTCACAACCCATTCAGGGCACTCCTCTTTCCACTTTAAAGAATATGGCATCTTCTCTTTGGAAATCATCTGTTCTGCCTTACCATTTCCACATTTCCCATCCACTTCTAAGCATGTGAACAGCTTCCCTGTCTACCTTTTCTATACCATATCTGAGAGTTTTGGAGGCAAATAGGTCAAATCCCACTATTTTTAAGTGGGCTATTCCAGAATAAACAGTTATGACATACAAAATTCCTGCCAGTTTGGGGTTATGGTGACGGAAATTGCCTGTATACCACATTCCTGCTTCTGAGATAATGATCATAAGTCTCTCTTGGCATTTTCCTTCTCTTCTGAACCTGACTAATGAATTAAGATCAACCAGTACCACCCATTGCTTAGATAGCTTTGGGAGAGTCTAAAGTTTGTGCTTTGGGCATTAAAACACTGCCAGAATGTGAGGTTAGAAAAATCAGCTAAAGTGAAAAATTAATTTTGTTTTCAAAAATAACTTGTATGGTCACAGACTTAGCTTTGTCTTCTTTGCTTTCCGTGGCTTGTGCTTCCTTAGATGCTGACCAGAGATGCAGCCAGTATCAGTAGAGCTAGCTACTTGGAACAGCTGAAAGATTATTTTGAGGGATTTCTTAAAGGCCAAGAGAAAATGTAATAACCATTTTATCCAAAGAATGCTCTTTGATAAAGACTTAGCTTTGAACCTCTGAATCCACAGGAGCTTGTTTGATTCTATTGTTTTGTAAAGAGATTTCCCTTGAGTTGCATATTTTGAATTCTTGCACATTATGCTTACTAAATCTGTTTCTTAAATAACAAGTAAGGAACCTTGAAGATGAGGATGTTCTATATTTCTGGATTTCATGTTATAAGTTTATTATATATATTTTGTCCCACAAGGTGGGCTTCTCACAGTGATACGTATGTGTACAGTTTATACTTCAGGTGCAGTAAAATTAACTTTTGAAAGATGATGGATTTCAGTCCTGTCATAGTGTAAACATTCTGTATTTCACAATCACTATGAAGGAACTTTTTTGACTAAGGATATTTATACCCAGAAATCATTAGTATCTGTGATGTTATTTGTCTGGGAAACCAGTAAATGATGTAGGTAACACAGATGAGAGAGAAATGGACAAAAACTTTGAAATAGGAGAAGAAAAATGAAAATTAATTTACAAAGTCTCATTTTTTACGATGAATTGTAGGGTTTTTTTTTATACTTTTTTCTTTTTTGTATAGTCTCTTTAGCCTTTATTTTTCCTTTCCTAATTTTAGATTTTAGTACTAATTTACATGTGAATGTCTTATGATATATATTACACACATGTATATATATGATACATGTATATGCATGTATCTCATACAGTCTTTTTTCTTACCACATCCTTTTGAACCTGGCATAAAGAGAATTCAGCTATCAATTCCATTTGAAAATTTTTACCCTAAAACTCTTGCTATCTCAAAGAATCACAGTAAACCCACAAAACACCAGCTGGTCAACACTGAACTCCCAAGTATTAGACATGAGGAGGGAAACTAACCCACTTAGTAGATACCATATATTTACTCATTCTGCAAATATGTATGGTGCAATCACTATGTTTATTAGATCCAAGAAAAGTCGCTGTTCCCTTTGCATTTCTTTTTCAGATAAGGAGACAAAGAACAGGTAATCAAATAAATGAATATCATCTCAAATAATGGGAAGTGCAATGAAGGATATAAAACTAGAGAGTGACAGGCTCCAAGGACCCTCTTGGACTTTATTGTATCTGTTTTAGGATACCCTGAAAACCATTATTTTTGTACCTATTTTTTAGATAAGAAACTCTGAGACTCAGAGCCTGAAGGCCTTGCCCCCAAACAAGAAGTGTGTATTACATGGCAAAATTAAGTTGTGGTTTTTATCTCTGTAGTTCAAGGTCCAGGCTTTTGTTACCTGGTGTCCTTGAGGGAAACATTATTCAGGAATGCAGATATCAAGATACAAAAATATATATAAGTTTTCACCATTACTTTTTGGGCAATATGTTCTTCTCAGTAACTATCAAAGTATAAGTTTTTGATCCTCCAAAACTTAGACGTATTTTCATGGACAAGAAAAACTTAAAATCACCTTTAAAACTTTTTCTTCTATTGTTTAACTAAAACAATGTATTGAATAGAATGGTTCTTTGTTTTATTGGAATCTTCTGAGAAATGAGTGGATTAATCTGTATACTTTCCTTTTTTTATAAATTACTTTATTTAGCTATGAATGTAGCATGTGTCTCAGGAAGAGATTCATGGTTTTTTGACCCATGTAACTTATTTGATTTGACTAGTCTAACATTAATTCTATTATCTTGATTCAGCATGATTTAATAGTGAAGAAAGCCAAACTGCTTAAGTTTTAACTGTTCCTACTACTAGTTGTGAGATATCTGGATGTTTGTTTTCTGTTCTGCCCTTTTCTTATTCATAACACAGTAAGTGTTACAGCAAATCTAAATGCATTAATTTATTTAATTCCAATCAGGATATTGTTAAGGTGTGTTCACCCATGT